AGGCAAAAACTAGAAGAAGCAACTCTCAGAGCTTCAAGGCCGGCCAGATGCAATTACACAGACATATACATCTAAAAGCTCAGAACACACCAATCCTGGAGCTAGTCTCCAGGGGTTAGAACACAAGAGGAATCTTTGGGTGCTTCATTTAACCAAACATCATGCAGAGGAGGGTGGGGCAGGCCGCCTACAGGTAAGGGTGTCACCTAAGCAGCCTGAGGGCCTGGTATCAATTACTTCCCCTCCAGGGCACAGTCTGCTCTCTTGCTGCAAAAGCCCACTCATTGGAAAAGACCCTGATACTAGGAAAGATTGAGGGCAGGAAGAGGGGGTGACAGAGAATGAAATGGTTGGAAAGTGTCACAGACTCAACAGACATGAGGTGGAGAGAACTCCAGGAGATGGTGAGGGACAGGGAAACCTGGCATGCTGCAGTCCGTGGGGTGGCAAAGAGTCAGATACAACTTAGCAACTGAACAACAACCAGGGCACAGAGAGGGTGACAGGAACTTGAGGCTTAAGACAGCTCCAAAAGCACTGATTCTCGTCAAAACCATCACACAAGACAGGGCTTAATCATCAATTTCTACAGAAAACTGGGCAAGGTGAGAACATTTTTAGCAATAAATAATTTACTGATGAATACAATGTGTGTGCTAAGGAGGGAGGGCCACACATGGTAACTAATAACAACTAACCTACTGGAGTCTCTTGCTAATGAGGCCAATGGAGGCAGGAGATAAAGCCTCCTTGTCAAAAGTACTAAATTCTTGAGAAAGCAAACGGCAGGGGGCAGGGCTGCCTGGTGACGCCACAAAACTACAGGACTTACAGGTCTAACATTCTTCTAGGCAAGGGGTCAGGAGACTGTGGCCCACGTACAGGTCAAATCCAGCCTCTGCCTGTACATGCCATGAGCCACTGCCAGTACACAACATATTTAAGCGGTTGAAAAAATTAAAAAATATTTCATGGCATATAAAAATTAAACGAAATTCAAACATCAGTGTCCACAAAGTTTTACTGGAACACAGACATGCCCACTCATTGTTTTTTCTGTGGCTGCTTTCTCCGTGAACTGATGGAGGTGGTAGGTGTGACGGGCACCCAGGTGGCCAGCAACATCTTGTCTCATCCTTTAGAGAAAGTTTGTTGATCTCTGTTCTAAGCCATAAAGTCCAGTTGCTTTCGAATGGTTCACAGCTCTGAACATTGGTGCACGCCTATTAGTTTGGCTGAGAAATAACCAGGATTTAGGAATAACCTGCCAGCCTAACAGACAATGCAACCCCATTGTTAAGAACAGCAGACAGGTCTAATAAGTCCTACAGATGCAGAGGTAACTGCCCACAGTAACCAGAAAGATGTGCAAGGCTTTCCTGAGTTGAAAGTAGGATGGTCCCAGAAGGTTTATGCGGGAATGAGTATGATTAAAGATTTTCTCTTTGAACGAATGTATTAGCTACCTCTTACAGATGAGAAGAAAATCACCCTCAAAATGGCTACCACTTTCGAGCACTTACTAGGAGCCTAGGACTGAGCAAAGCCTTTTGCTTTTATTATCTCACTGAATGGTCATCTTCTCTAGACTCAGAGAGGCTGGTTGGCTCAGGAAATGGGGATCAAATCCAGGTTCCACTCTAAAGCCTGTGTTTCCAACCACTCTCCAACTTGAAAGCCCAGGACAAAAACGCTCACCAGACTAAATGAGAGGAAAAGGGAACGACCACAGGAACAGTGGAAGCAAGTTCCTTTTTATGTCATTGAGCATTTTATTCACCCGCCCCCATAATACTCTCTTCCATCAATGTTTAAAGAAAAAAATACAATTCATTTCTTCCAAAATCTTTGCTTGAGAGCAGTAAGAGAGTGGGGCTGAATGAACCACTCTCCCCAGGAGCTGGTTGTCAAGCTCAAGCCTCTGCTTATCCACCATTCATCTATTCAGTCTAAATGTTTAAACGTAATTTAAAAACAGCCACAACGCACCCAGGACTAGCACTGTCAAGACCTTTCTGCGGTGCATGGTTTATCAATTGACAGACAACACTTTGCTGTGGGAACAAAATGGCAGCACTTTTGTACCTCTAAGACCACATGACTAGGTTAAAGACAAACTTAAAAGGCAAGTATTAAGCAAAAAGATCTACTTTTTTCTTATTTTTTCTCTTAATTCTTCTAACTCCCATTTTACTTAATAAAAACACATATCTATAATTAGGGGGCTCAGGCTCTCTCTTATAAAACAACTCTAGCCCCCTCCTCAGAAAAATACACACACACACACACACACACACACGTTTAAGCCACAACTCTAGGGGGTTCAGGAATATCTTGAAGCCCATTCATGACCCCTTGAGATTCACAGACCCCAGGATAATCCCTGCTCTGAAAGCAAAACACAGGATTGCCTATTTTACAGGATCAGGGTACAGACCACATAGCTAGCTCTCTCATCATCTTTTAGAGTTTCAGAGGCTAATATTAAATAAATACTCAAAGAAACTTTCTTAACTAGACTCTCATACTCTCAAAAAAAATGAACCTAATAACTCGAGTAAAGCCCCAAACCTAAAGCCATATATGTTCAAAGTCCATGTCAGTTTTGTTAAGAGTTTAAAATCTACAGTCTCTTTCTGTTCATGGAGATTTTCCTAGGAAAGGAAGAAATGTTACTATGGACTAGAGCTTGAGTGTTTTCGACTTTAGCATTCACGAATATGTTAATTTACAATAAATTGTATAAAAGAAGACCACTTGTAAGATTTATTAAAAGATGTTCTCTCACTATATATGAGATGAAGAAAAGTTGATTAAAATAATTCTTAAATATTCAACACAAAAGATCTGTGTCAATGCAATTGCCAATTAAGTTAAAAAATCTGCTTCAGCCTCATGAAGTTCAAAAAGGCTTAAGTACCACCACCTGAAACAAGAATGTTCAGGAATGTTTAGTTTCAGGTATACCTCAAACTTTAAAGTCTTTCCATCTTTCTTGGTCTGACTGATTCAGAAAATTTCTGACATTGCCCAGCAAAATACAAAACGAACTTAGTAAGTGTTTGGTCAGGACTCTATCTATGACTGAAGGATACACTGACTCTTGAAAATTTAACTTACAGGAGGCAGAGATACTTTCCCATAAACAACAGTTAAGGTTACTTCAAGTCACTAGATACTGTTTCCAAATCAGTATTATGACGATAATGCCAAATAATAAGTAACTCAAAAAGAACAAAAGAACATCATTTCACCGCTCAACAGTTACTTTTTAAACTGATTATGGCCCAAATGCCACCTGAGGCAGACAAGTAATTGATGCCTGAAATTTACAATGTGTAGCACTTAAGATTTAAAGTAATTCCCCTTTTGGTTAGTGTCTTCTCTCCCTCTAAACCAAGAAAATGAACGAACTCATGCATCAGAATTTATGCTAGTATTAGTTTAAAGCCAGGAGAGATTTCGCACTGTGGGGGAGAGCAAGTTATACCTCAAAATATTCACTCAAGGTAACTTGCTTCCTTTTTTTTTTTTTTTTTTTTGCCTTTGTGTTAACAGTCATAGGTGCTAACTCTTTAGAGCACTGTTGATGAGCATTATTGAAATTTTTACTTCATATATGCGGATAAAATTTTATGCATACTGATTTCTAGCTAGAGGTGATACACCCTTCACTGTCACATATTTGCATGTACAGCTCTTCCTCTCAGAGAAAACCAGGAGAAAGAACTCAATTTGACTAAGGAAACTGAAACAACCAAATCCGTCTTCCATAAGAGCTTCATCCCGAAGAAGCAGGGTACTTGGTGGGGGAGCAGAAATATTGGAAAATAACTCAATAATATCAAACCTGGATTGAAAACTCAGACCCGCTTCTTGGGGCTCACTGAATCCACCCCAGTGGAGATGAAATCAGCCGGACTACTGCCCGTTTCCTCTTGCCCCTCACCATCGAAATGTTGCCATTTGCGAGAAGCTCATCGAAGTTGAATCAAAGTGACTTTTGGGAAGAGATGCCAGTATCTCCGGCAGTGTGCTCCGGAAATGTGTAACTACACGCTAGTCAACGTTTCTCATTGAGCACCTCCCTCTCCCTTCACTTTCGACTTCCCCTTAAGATGGGGACAGTTTTTGAAAATCTGAGAGAGAGAAATAAATAAGAGCATCCCGTCCCGGTCGCCGGCGGGGATTCCGGCGCCCGGGGAGGAAGGCGGGCACCCCGCACCGCGGCGCTAAGCGAACTCCGCCCGCAGGTCGCTAAGTTTCTCCGTCCCTGTTTTCCGGCACCCGCCCGAGCCCCGAGGGGAAGGGGGCGGCCGTCCGGGCCGGATCCGCGCCACCTGGAACCCGGGGCCTTTTTCGCTCGAAGACCGCGCCCCGCGCGAGTGCCCGCGTGCGAGACCCGCCCAAGCGCGCGTGGGCGCTAAAGTTCGCGGGGACCCCCCGCGAGGCGCCCCCTCTGTGCCCCGGGTCCCCCGACTCCCGGGCTCAACCCGGGCCGGGCGCCCCCTCTCCCCGCGCCGCCCCCGAGAGCGAGCCCACCCCCAGCGGCGACAGAGGGAATGGGGCGGCGGGGGCCGCGGCCGCCGTCCCCGGGAAGCGCTAGGGGTTCGGACCCCGCGTGGCTCCAGCCGCCCCGGCGGCGCCCGGACGAGCTCACCTGGCGTCTGGCGGCGGCCTCCGGGGCGGCCTCTGGGCGTGGGCCGGGCGGGGGCGGCAGGGGGCGGGGGGCAGGCTGCGGGCGCCGGGGTTGCACCGGGGCCGCCGCCGCCCGCCTGGCCTCGCCCCACACGCGCTGGCCGTGGCCGCCCCCGGGGAGTGCGGGGAGCGCGGGTCCCGCGGCGGCGGCGGCGCAGCGCGGCTCAGGCGGCGGAGCGGGCGGCCGCGGGCGCCGCCGCCTCCTCCTCCATGGCTGTTTACCCGGCTGCATTGTGGGAGTTTGACCTCCGCCGCCGCCAACCGCCGCCTCAGCTTGCGCCGCCGCCGCCGCCGCGCACGCCATGGGAGCCGTGACTGACGGTGAGGCCCGCTCGCCGCCGCCCCGGCCCGCTCCCCGGAGCCGCGCGGCCTCCCCGGCCCCCGCCGCCGCCTCCCTCGAGACCCCCGGCCTCCCCCGCCGCTTCCGGGAGCCCCTCGGCTTCCCCTATCGGGTCCCTCGGAGACCCGGCCTTTCCCGGCCGCTTCCCCCGAGCTCTTCAGCCTCTCTCCGGAGCCTCCCTCCCTGTTCCCCCTCGGAGCCCCTCGGGCTCCCCGGCCGGCTCTCCCGAGATCGCGCGGGGCGTGGGGCGGGTGCGCCGGGAGGATCGTCTGGGGGACGCGAGCACACGTGGGGGCCTGAGCAGGCTGGCAGCCAGCGATGCGCGGGTGGGTGGTACCCGGAAGGGGTCCAGGCTCTCGGAGGATGTGGTGAGGGAGCACTGGGTGGGGGCGCTGGGGTCCGAGGGGCGGCGAAGGGGAGGAAGGGCTGGAGGCCTTGCCGTTGGGGGTCGGGAGGACCTAAGGAGGGGCTGGAAGAGACTGCGAACTCCGAGGAGGTGGCCGGGGGGTGGGGGTGGAGGGGTGGAGATCGCGCCAGGTTGGAAAGCTGAGAGAGGTCTCCGGACAGGAGTGCAGGGGTGTCGGTGTACAGAGGGGGACACCTGCAAAGTGTCTGGGAAGGTCCCCTAGACAGTGGATCGCACGGAGGCCTGAGAGCTAGCCCTGGATTGGGGGTAGGGAGAGGGAACTGGGGATAATATCAAGAAAGAGTGGATGTGGACGGAGTGTTTGGAAGACAGCCAGGGACTGTGCCTGGGAGACTAAGAAGAGCCAGCAGAGGGATGGGGCCACCTCGGGAGATCCGTGGAAGACTCATTTGTGTGTGCATGTCTTGGGAAGGGCGGTTTGTCCCCTGGGATGGAGTAGGGAGGGAGAGGTAGGGGCTGAGTTTCTGGCAAGTTGTGAGGTCAGTTTAGGAAGGTGGACCCATGTAAGGAGGGGGCAGGAGGTAGTCTACAGAGAGAAGAATAGAGTGACACCGTGGGGAAGGTGGACAAGCATAAGCATGATGGGCAACTGGAGGGAGAACCTAAAAAGCTATCCGGTTAGGGAGTGAAGAAGTCTGTTGACATTTGGAAAGGGGAGGTCTAGGGGCACTGGGTCTGTTTGAAGACTGGCCAATGGATGCCTATAGAGAGGCCATTTCTGAAAAGTTGGAGGTAGACAAGGTCTCCACATGAAAGGACCAGGCCATGGGCAGAAGAATAACAGGCCCAAGTTTTGTGACCATGACAGGGAGTAGTTAGGTGGAGGCTCTTCAAGCTTAGCTTCACTCCAGTTAATTTTTTTCAGTAGGTATCTATCCCATCTGGACTAAGTCTTGGGATTATAGCCCCGGCCAACAGGCAAGACCTCTTCTCTGAGGTCACAGTCTGGTGGGAAAGACACATGAGACAATAAGTTTTCATGGTGGAAAATGTTACTACAGAGGAAGCAGAAGATTGGGAATTGTAGAAGCACATAACAAAGATTGTTTATCCATTCTCAGAGATCAGAAAACCTCCCTGAAACAGTTACTCTTAATCTCATTTTTGAAGGATTAGTAGATGTATTAACTGTTGGACTGGTATTCCAGGTGGAGAACCACTTGTGCATAGGTAACAAAGTTTCGGAAAACTCAAAGATGATAAGTATTGGCTAGAAGTTAGAAAGTTACGAGCCAGACATCTTTGATGGTTATGGGACACCATTAAAAGATTTTAGCATTGGTGTGATGTCATCAGATGGCATGAAAAACACCACCACACTCTACTCTGAATAATAATGAAGGGAAGGGAAAGTGAGGTGTTAAGTAACTGGCCTCTCTGCTTTCTAACATCTATAGTATATTGATAGTATGCCAAGCATGTTCTAATTACCATCCCCACTTTTCAGATGACACTGGAACACAACGAGGTTAACTTAACCCTGGGTTGCACAGGTAGCAAGTTATAGAACCTGAGCTCAAAGCCAAAGGACCAGTTGCTGTAGTTCCTAGAGAGAAAGGATGGGGACTGAGACCAAGAGGAATGGCAGAGAAGCAGACAGGTGGGAAAGACACTGATGAGGTCGAATGTCAGAAGATTGAGTGGATGTGAGGGGAAGGGCCAAGGATTATTCCAGGTTTCTGATAGGAGTGACTATGTGCTTATTAGTGCGATGGCTCTATTCATTGAGATAGAGAACGGCAAAGGAGAGAGAGGTTTTGTCAGAGGGAGGTGAAGAGGAAGATGAGTTCTAATACACTGATTGCAATCAAGTGCCCACTATGTCCAAAGAGACCATCAGAATCCCCACTCTGCCATTCATAAGCAGTCTGTCCTTGTGCAGGTTAATTGACCTCTTTGAGCCTCAGTTTCATTCCTTGTAAGTGGGGATAATAAAATCTACTTCATAGGCTGGTTTTGAGAATTAGACGCAGCAAAACTTGTGAAGTGCTTTGCACTGAGGCCGATACACAGTAATGTCCAGTGAATACTGTTAATGTCAGAGTTGGTTTACTTGCCTCTCCTCCACTTTCCTTTGATGAGGAGTGTGCCTTCCTCCATTCTTTATCTCTGCAGATTTCCCCTTCCTGCCTTTTCTGCCTGGTGACTGTCCATTTATTCTTCAGGATCCATATCAAATATTCTCCTCTGCTCTTTGGAAAACCAGTTGATCTTTCACCTGTTAACCACATTATCTTCTTATATTTCTGCTATACCCCTCAATATACTTAATTTACTTACATGGTGTGTTCCAGAAAATATTTAAAGCAGCTAATTATAATGAGAAAACATTAAAATAAATGGATGATAGGGTCTTCCCTGGCAGTCAGGTGGTTAAGGTTCCACACTTCCAGTTCAGGGGTCACAGGTCCGATCCCTGGTTGGGGAACTAAGATCCCACATGCCTCACACTTGGAAGTGATCGGAGAGTTTCAAGTGGTAGTCTTTTGGATCACTCCGGACTTCTGTGTAGAGAATGAGTTGTAGGAAGGCAAGAATGGAAGCAGGGAGGCCAAGGAGAAGTGGTCCAAGTGAGAAACCATGTGGGCTCTGATTAGGATGATGGCAGTGGGGAAGACAGGAGTGGCTGGCCTCCACATCCTCAGCCTCTTGAAAGGCTCTTGGAAAAGTTCCAATACCTGTTTCTGGAGACTTGAGGAGGGCGGATGTCCTCTTGCCAATCTGAGTGCCTGGGCAGGTGCTGTGCTTTCATGTAATCCTTACATCTGGGTTTGCCTATCCAACTGGACTGGAGCTCTTGGAGGAGAAACTCTTTATATCCTGTGCAAGGACACAGTGGTTAATTGGAGGAATAATCTGCCCTCCTTTAAGGGAAGGAGAGATACTGTATTGTTATCTACAGATACTGAACTTAGATGGCATCACCAACTCAATGAACATGAATTGGAGCGAGCTCTGGGAGATTGAAGAACAGGGAAGCCTGGCGTGCTGCTGCCACCGGGTTGCAAAGAGCTGGACACGACTTAGAGACTGAACGGCACCAACTGAACTATAAATGTTATCCCTAGAAGCATCATCTTTGCATGGACAAGTGGAGGTCCTGGGAAGTTAGCGGCTTACTGTCACAAAGCTAGTTAGCGGCAGAGCAATTCTCTCTCCTTCCTTGTTGCCACCCCAGCATTTCGGCTGACTGGAAAAACAGTTTAGATGTTGTCACTGTTAATTTAAACTATGTTCAAAGTTTGTATTTTGTATGTTAATTTAAAGGGTGTTAAACAGTGTTAGTACCCTGATAGAAGGCTTTTCAGAAGCACTCTTTGCAGTACAGAGAACATTAGGTATATGTCTTGATCTGCCAGAGCAACAGATGGATGATGAGAAGGGCAGTAGGGAGCGGGATGTGGCTGTACACTCCATTGAATAGAGCTTGTTGGTTTTGACAGTGTTGCTTTTTTTTTTAATTAGAAAGTATAATGCATGGATAATATGCCTGTTAAAACTTGAAATAATGGTTTTTAACATGCCCGTGAACAGCGTGACAGAATAATGGAACGCCACTATGACTTCCTAATAATGTAATTGTGGATATTTTCCTCTAACTACAGAGATGACACTTTTCATCTGTAAAAGGAAGATAATAATACATACTTCATTGGGTTTTTCCACGGATGAAGTGTGATTAGTATATGTAAAGCACTTCAAAGTTGAGTGACCATTTAATTGATTGTCCAAACCAGGACACTTTTCAGAGTGAAAGGAGGCAGGAGGTATGGTCATCAAATAGGAGTGTACAAATACTGTGTCTGCTGCTGTTCCAATTTCAGTTGTTGATCCAATGTTAATTACACATTTGTACCCAAAGGGTTTGTTTGACTCACCCCGCCCCCCATAAGTACCAATGGATTTGCCCACTTTGTTCTCTCATTTGTGGTCCCAGCACAGGGGTTACTGAAGCAGTTCAAATATTAAATAATATTTCTTTAGCCAAGATAAAAGGCATCTCAAAGTGTCATTGGAGTTTCAACCTTGACTCGATTAGGGTCATACTCTAAACATTTAAATAAATCTAGAGAAAAACCAGAGATGGTGAGGGACAGGGAAGCCTGGCATGCTGCAGTCCATGGGGTCGCAAAGAGTCAGACACAACTTGGCGACAGAACAGCAACAACAGAGAAAAATGAAGGACCTCAACATTGATTTTTCTGCTTTTCTTTTTTAATTTTTAATGTAATTTTGGTTTTTGTCATTTACTTTGGTATCAGCAATTTATTTAGACTGGGCCTAAGTGTCTCCGGAGAGATCCCTGTTTACATGGATGAATCAAAGCACCTTACTCTTTTCAACCTGACTTTTTTGTGTCTTAACATTGGTGGCCTTCATAGTTGTTTTAATAATTTTAAGCTTCTTGAAAGGAGGGGCTCAGTATTATTTTACCAGGAGGAATCCAACACAGTGGGATATTCCTAATTCAGCTTAATAATCCATAAGCCATGGTGACCTAGTGATGAACATAACAGGAATTTGCACACACATTGTTTTGACATGGCCTTAGTC